CTCTATCTATGACGATCTTCAGTCTTCACTGGTTAGCTTCAACATCTCTCCCTGAGCCCTCCGGCTCATCCCCTCTTATACCAAAACCCCCGCTGAGGGGTGGGGCCCCGGGGGATCCCAGTTCTTAGTCAGCCCCCCAGGCTGCCCGATGCGAACGTCGCTGGGAGCACCTGCCCGTGCACCGACATAGCCACGCCCGCTGTGTTTCTTTCCCATCTGATCCCATTGTATACAGCCCCTCCGTAACACCCCTACACTTGCATGCGGCATTTGACATCGTTGTGTCCTAGGGGACCTCGGGGGCAGCTGTCCTTGCACGGCGGTGCTCACTTGAGGCTGAGCAGACGTCGGGGAGGTCCAGGAGTGGTTCAGATAATCGTCACTGGTGTTGACTCTGACCTGAAAATCAAGCTAGGGTTCGTAGCGCGGTGCGCTAACCACTCTCTCACCGCTCCCCATGTACTGTGCGCACGGAGACAAGTAGCTATGAAGGTGCCGGCACGGCACACGAGGGGGTGGGTGGCCAGCACCACGCCCGGCCGCCTTTGTCTCCCTAGTGGCGATGTTTACACACCGCACCAGTGACTCGTTTGATGCCGAGTCGACCTAGGAGAGGCCCAGGACCGGGACCGGTTCAGACAATCGTCACTGGTGTTGGCCGTGAGCGGGAATCGAACTTGGGTAGCCAGGTTCGTAGCGTAGCGCGCTAACCACTACACACACACACGTGTGCACTCACCCACACGTGTGTACACACCAACACGTGTACACACCAACACGTGTACACTCTTCTTGGTTCTTTCGGTAAAGTCACGTAAAATGGAAATAATAAAATAATAAAAATAAAACATAATAAAATAATTCTCACGACGTTTCGGCCACAACGCAAGCAGCCGTCCTCAGGTGAAGAACAGGTCTGTCCACACGTGTACACACCAACACGTGTACACACCAACACGTACACACATGTACACTCACCCACACGTACATACACGTGTACACTCACCCACGCATGTATACTCACCCACGCATGTACACTCACCCACACGTACACACGCGTGTACACCCACCCACACATATACACACGGAGAGAGAGAAAGGGACACGGAGAGAGATGGAGAAAAACATTTAATAATAATATTTAAAATATGTACATAGAAAACAGGGGGAACATAGACATGTAGTAGGGAGAGAAGGGGTAGAGAGAGAGAAAGGGGAATAGGTAAGAAGGAGGAGAGCAGAGCGTGAAATATTTCATTGAAAAAGGGGAGGGGGTTTACATAAAGCAAAGCATAAAAAAACGAAATGATGAACGAAGCAAGGTGCCGACTACTTCGAACATCTTCTTGTTTCCTCTGATCGTAAAAAAAAGAGAGGGACACGGGGAGGGAGAGAGAAATCCGCTGTGTGAGAGGTGACGGCTGAGTGGTAGCAACAACAGCAGCAGGCGGATTCGAGGCGGGGTCATCGCAGGCACTCGCTAATTACAGCAGCGATACAAGTTCGCGGCGCCCTGCGCGCTAATGCGGTAGGTAAATTAAGGGGATGATGAGTGATGCCATTAGACGATGAACACCGACACACCTGTGTGTGTATCACCTGTGTCTCTCTCACATACCTGTGTGTGTCTCACCTGTATCACACACACACCTGTGTCACACACACCTGTGTGTGTCTCACCTGTATCACACACACCTGTGTGTGTGTCTCATCTGTTTTTCTCACATACAGACACAGACCTGTGTCTGTGTATCACCTGTATCACACACACACTTGTGTATTACCTGTATCACACACACCTGTGTGTGTATCACCTGCATCACACACACACACCTGTATCACACACACTTGTGTAACACCTGTATCACACACACACACCTGTGTGTGTATCACCTGTATCACACACACACACCCCTGTGTGTGTATCACCTGTATCACACACACACACCTGTGTGTATCACTTGTATCACACACACACCCTTGTGTGTGTATCACCTGTATCACACACCTGTGTGTGTATCACCTCCACAACACACACACCTGTGTGTGTATCACCTCCACAACACACACACACCTGTGTGTATCACCTGTATCACACACACCTGTGTGTATTGTCTGCATGTGCTATGGTCGCATGGTCGTTATCGTCCCTCGTCATTGTCGAAGATTATTGACGTCCTGATAAACAAGCGCTTGTGAATGGATAAACAAACTAATTGACACTCCGCGAAACACACAAGCGGCCGTAATTGATGGCGAGCCAAACCGGGCGTTCGGCTAATTAGCAATGCCGATTGCATGACGTCATCGTGTTCATAACAACAGATGGAGATGAGGCCACCCACGGTGTAGAAGGGTGTGAGATGGAACAGATGGAGATTAGTCCACACACGGGTAGATGGGTGTGAGATGAAACAGATGGTGATTAGTCCACACACGGGGTAGAAGGGTGTGAGATGGAACAGATGGAGATTAGTCCACACACGGGGTAGAAGGGTGTGAGATGGAACAGATGGAGATTAGTCCACACACGGGGTAGAAGGGTGTGAGATGAAACAGATGGAGGTTAGTCCACACACGGTGTAGAAGGGAGTGAGATGGAACAGATGGAGATTAGTCCACACACGGGTAGAAGGGTGTGAGATGGAACAGATGGAGATTAGTCCACACACGGGTAGAAGGGTGTGAGATGAAACAGATGGAGATTAGTCCACACACGGGTAGAAGGGTGTGAGATGAAACAGATGGAGGTTAGTCCACACACGGTGTAGAAGGGTGTGAGATGAAACAGATGGAGGTTAGTCCACACACGGGTAGAAGGGAGTGAGATGAAACAGATGGAGATTAGTCCACACACGGGTACAAAGTTGTGAGATGGAACAGATGGAGATTAGTCCACACACGGGTACAAGGGTGTGAGATGGAACAGATGGAGATTAGTCCACACACGGGTAGAAGGGAGTGAGATGGAACAGATGGAGATTAGTCCACACACGGGGTAGAAGGGAGTGGGATGGAACAGATGGAGATTAGTCCACACACGGGTAGACAGATTCCACCACCTATTGACTGAGATGACTGAAAGATGCCACCACCAGTTGACTGAGATGAGTGACAGATGCCACCACCAGCTGACTGAGATGACTGACAGATGCCACCACCATCTGACTGAGATGACTGACAGATGCCACCACCATCTAACTGAGATGACTGACAGATGCCACCACCAGCTGACTGAGATGAGTGACAGATGCCACCACTAGTTGACTGAGATGAGTGACAGATGCCACCACCAGCTGACTGAGATGAGTGACAGATGCCACCACCAGCTGACTGAGATGAGTGACAGATGCCACCACCAGTTGACTGAGATGACTGACAGATGCCACCACCAGCTGACTGAGATGAGTGACAGATGCCACCACCAGCTGACTGAGATGAGTGACAGATGCCACCACCAGCTGACTGAGATGAGTGACAGATGCCACCACCATCTGACTGAGATGACTGGCAGATGCCACCACCAGCTGACTGAGATGAGTGACAGATGCCACCACCAGCTGACTGAGATGAGTGACAGATGCCACCACCAGTTGACTGAGATGAGTGACAGATGCCACCACCAGCTGACTGAGATGAGTGACAGATGCCACCACCATCTGACTGAGATGACTGGCAGATGCCACCACCAGCTGTGCCCCCTACCGTGCCAACTCGCTGCATCGCCCCCCCCCCCCCAAAAAAAACAAAGATCCCCCGTATAACCTTAACAAACTGTTGGGGCAAGTGCTGTGAGCGAGTAGCAACTACGAAGGCTGACAGCACACGAGGGGGAGGGTGGCCAACCCCACGCCCGGCCGCCTTTGTCTCCCTAGTGGCGATGTTTACTACACACCGCACCGGGTACTCGTTTGAGGCTGAGTCGACCTAGGTGAGGAGGCCCAGGACCGGTTCAGACAATCGCCAGGTTCCGTAGCGCAGCGAGCGCCAACCGCTGCACCACCGCTCCCCTACCGTGCCAATTGGCTGCATCGGCCCCCTCCCCCCAACCTCTCACACCCCCACAGCCCCGCCCCTCGCCCTAATTAGCAAATCTCTGTTTGTGTTTTCGCTTTAATTAGCGGGGGTGGAGGGGAGGCACTTCATGAACCTTTCAATTGAGGGATTGGGTCCCATGGGGGTGGGTCCCTGGGGGGGGGGGGTGGGGGGGAGTTGGTTAAAGACATCGGCACCCCTCGAGGGGGGCTCCCCCTTTCACGGCGCGATGCTGCTGCTGCTGTGTGACTCCCTGCCCGGCGGGGGTCTCCCCTCACAGAGCCCCCACACGGGCTCCGTGGTGCCGGTCATCTTCCTGAAGAGCTCCAATCACAATCATCAGCAGCAGCAGCTGCAGCTTGATCACGATCATGATCATCAGCAGCAGCAGCAGCAGCTTGATCACGATCATGATCATCAGCAGCAGAAGCAGAAGCGACAGCGCAAGGAGCCGGTGCTGCTGCTACCCCCGCGACGGAGATCCCTGACCCCCGAGGCCCCTGAGCAACTCATCCACGACCCCCCCGAGACCCCTGGCTGGGTGCGCGTGAGCCGCGGTGCGGGACCCAAGGAGGGAGCCGAACCGTCGGACGACCGGAACTCGAGTCCAACTCGACCGGCTGCGGTCACGGGCCGCTCGCAGGGCAACGGCAGTGGTGACGACAAGGATGGTGGTGGTGGTGGTGATGGGGGCGGTGATGGGGGTGGTGATGGAGGTGGTGGTGGTGGTGATGGGGTGGTGGTGGTGGTGATGGGGGCGGTGATGGGGGTGGTGATGGCGGCGGTGATGGAGGTGGTGATGGGAAGCAGATGCCGAATCGGGAGGAGTCTCATCTCCCAGGGGCAAGGCGGGGGGCACTGAAAGGGGCACGAACAGCAGCCGGGGCAAGGCCAGCGAAAGAGTTGGCGGCACGGAGGGAGGAGCCGGACTGGGCAGGGTTAGGGGCAAGGCCGCGCTTGGTATCATGCGAAATGGAGAGGGCATTGGACGAGGCCAGGGCGAGGTCAGGCTCGGGGTCAATATTAGGGTCAAGGTCGGGTGCGGACTTGGGGGCGTGGACAGGGGCATCGGAAGGAAAGGGAACGGGAGATGCGCGCACGTGGCCAGGGACGGGAGCCGAGGGGGTTGTGGGAGCCGAGGGGGTTGTGGGAGCCCCGCCGTGGAGCAGGGGTCTCGGCAGCGAGGGAGAGCCCTGCCCGGCCGCACCACGGGGCCCCCGTGGTGGAGATGGAGCCGCGAAGTCCGCGACCTCCCGGCGGCCGCGTGGAGCGGAGACCACGCGCAGGGCGATGGGGACCTGGGGGTGCTCATGGACGAGGTGGGTTTCTTCTCTGGGTCCAGTTCCACTGTGGGTGTGGGTTTAGTTACGGGAGGAGGGAGCTGCAGAACCCGAGGAAACTCACGCAGAACAGGGAGAGAGAACACACAACCTGAACTCACTCTGTGTGTAGAACAGGGAGAGAGAACACACAGCCTGCACTCACTCTGTGTGTAGAACAGGGGGAGAGAACGCACAACCTGCACTCACTCTGTGTGTAGAACAGGGAGAGAGAACACACAGCCTGCACTCACTCTGTGTGTGTAGAACAGGGAGAGAGAACACACAACCTGCACTCTCTCTGTGTGTAGAACAGGGGGAGAGAACACACAACCTGCACTCTCTCTGTGTGTAGAACAGGGGGAGAGAACACACAACCTGCACTCACTCTGTGTGTAGAACAGGGAGAGAGAACACACAACCTGTACTCACTCTGTGTGTAGAACAGGGGAGAGAGAACACACAACCTGCACTCACTCTGTGTGTAGAACAGGGGGAGAGAACACACAACCTGCACTCACTCTGTGTGTAGAACAGGGGGAGAGAACACACAACCTGTACTCACTCTGTGTGTAGAACAGGGGGAGAGAACACACAACCTGCACTCACTCTGTGTGTAGAACAGGGGGAGAGAACACACAACCTGCACTCACTCTGTGTGTAGAACAGGGGGAGAGAACACACAACCTGCACTCACTCTGTGTGTAGAACAGGGAGAGAGAACACACAACCTGCACTCACTCTGTGTGTAGAACAGGGGGAGAGAACACACAACCTGCACTCACTCTGTGTGTAGAACAGGGGGAGAGAACACACAACCTGCACTCACTCCTGTGTGTAGAACAGGGGGAGAGAACACACAACCTGCACTCATCTCTGTGTGTAGAACAGGGGAGGAGAGAACACACAACCTGCACTCACTCCTGTGTGTAGAACAGGGGGAGAGAACACACAACCTGCACTCACTCTGTGTGTAGAACAGGGGAGAGAACACACAACCTGCACTCTCTCTGTGTGTAGAACAGGGAGAGAGAACACACAACCTGCACTCACTCTGTGTGTAGAACAGGGGAGAGAACACACAACCTGCACTCACTCTGTGTGTAGAACAGGGAGAGAGAACACACAACCTGCACTCACTCTGTGTGTGTAGAACAGGGAGAGAGAACACACAACCTGCACTCTCTCTGTGTGTAGAACAGGGAGAGAGAACACACAACCTGCACTCACTCTGTGTGTAGAACAGGGGGAGAGAACACACAACCTGCACTCTCTCTGTGTGTAGAACAGGGGGAGAGAACACACAACCTGCACTCACTCTGTGTGTAGAACAGGGGGAGAGAACACACAACCTGCACTCACTCTGTGTGTAGAACAGGGGAGAGAACACACAACCTGCACTCACTCTGTGTGTAGAACAGGGGGAGAGAACACACAACCTGCACTCACTCTGTGTGTAGAACAGGGAGAGAGAACACACAACCTGCACTCTCTCTGTGTGTAGAACAGGGAGAGAGAACACACAACCTGCACTCTCTCTGTGTGTAGAACAGGGAGAGAGAACACACAACCTGCACTCTCTCTGTGTGTAGAACAGGGAGAGAGAACACACAACCTGCACTCTCTCTGTGTGTAGAACAGGGGGAGAGAACACACAACCTGCACTCACTCTGTGTGTAGAACAGGGGAGAGAGAACACACAACCTGCACTCACTCTGTGTGTAGAACAGGGGGAGAGAACACACAACCTGCACTCACTCTGTGTGTAGAACAGGGGGAGAGAACACACAACCTGCACTCCTCTCTGTGTGTAGAACAGGGGGAGAGAACACACAACCTGCACTCACTCTGTGTGTAGAACAGGGGAGAGAACACACAACCTGCACTCTCTCTGTGTGTAGAACAGGGAGAGCGAACACACAACCTGCACTCACTCTGTGTGTAGAACAGGGGAGAGAGAACACACAACCTGCACTCACTCTGTGTGTAGAACAGGGGAGAGAGAACACACAACCTGCACTCACTCTGTGTGTTAGAACAGGGAGAGAGAACACACAACCTGCACTCTCTCTGTGTGGTAGAACAGGGAGAGAGAACACACAACCTGCACTCTCTCTGTGTGTAGAACAGGGAGAGAGAACACACAACCTGCACTCTCCTCTGTGTGTAGAACAGGGGAGAGAGAACACACAACCTGCACTCTCTCTGTGTGTAGAACAGGGGAGAGAACACACAACCTGCACTCACTCTGTGTGTAGAACAGGGGAGAGGAACACACAACCTGCACTCTCTCTGTGTGTAGAACAGGGAGAGAGAACACACAACCTGCACTCTACTCTGTGTGTAGAACAGGGGGAGAGAACACACAACCTGCACTCACTCTGTGTGTAGAACAGGGGAGAGAACACACAACCTGCACTCACTCTGTGTGTAGAACAGGGGGAGAGAACACACAACCTGCACTCATCTCTGTGTGTAGAACAGGGAGAGAGAACACACAACCTGCACTCACTCTGTGTGTAGAACAGGGAGAGAGAACACACAGCCTGCACTCACTCTGTGTGTAGAACAGGGAGAGAGAACACACAACCTGCACTCACTCTGTGTGTAGAACAGGGAGAGAGAACACACAACCTGCACTCACTCTGTGTGTAGAACAGGAGAGAGAACACACAACCTGCACTCACTCTGTGTGTAGAACAGGAAGAGAGAACACACAACCCTGCACTCTCTCTGTGTGTAGAACAGGGAGAGAGAACACACAACCTGCACTCTCTCTGTGTGTAGAACAGGGAGAGAGAACACACAACCTGCACTCACTCTGTGTGTGTAGAACAGGGAGAGAGAACACACAACCTGCACTCACTCTGTGTGTAGAACAGGAAGAGAGAACACACAACCTGCACTCACTCTGTGTGTAGAACAGGGAGAGAGAACACACAACCTGCACTCACTCTGTGTGTTAGAACAGGGGAGAGAACACACAACCTGCACTCACTCTGTGTGTAGAACAGGGAGAGAGAACACACAACCTGCACTCACTCTGTGTGTAGACAGGGAGAGAACACACCAACCTGCACCTCCACTCTGTGTGTAGAACAGGGAGAGAGAACCCACACAACCTGCACTCTCTCTGTGTGTAGAACAGGGAGATAGAGAGAACACACAACCTGCACTCTCCTCTGTGTGTAGAACAGTGCGAGAGAAACACACAAACCTGCACTCACTCTGTGTGTAGTAAGAACAGGGGAGAGAGACAACACAACCTGCAACTCACTCTGTGTGTAGAACAGGCGAGAGGAGAACAACACAACCTGGCACTCATCTCTTGTGTGTAGAACAGGGAGAGAGAACACACAACCTGCACCTACTTCTGTGTGTAGAAACAGGGGCGAGAACACACAACCTGCACTCCACTCCGTGTGTCTAGAACCCGGGCGCGACGAGAACACACAACCTGCACTCCTCCTTGTGATGTGCTCGAACAGGGGAGAGAGCACACCACAATCCTGCACTCTCTCTGTGTGTGCTAGACACAGGGGAGAGAACACACAACCTGCACTCACTCTGTGTGTAGAACAGGGGGAGAGAACACACAACCTGCACTCTCTCTGTGTGTAGAACAGGGGGAGAGAACACACAACCTGCACTCACTCCGTGTGTCTAGAACAGGGGGAGAGAACACACAACCTGCACTCTCTCTGTGTGTGTAGAACAGGGAGAGAGAACACACAACCTGCACTCTCTCTGTGTGTCTAGAACAGGGGGAGAGAACACACAACCTGCACTCACTCTGTGTGTAGAACAGGGGGAGAGAACACACAACCTGCACTCTCTCTGTGTGTAGAACAGGGGGAGAGAACACACAACCTGTACTCACTCAGAGTGCAGCGCCACATTAAATACGCACTGCAATGACAATAGTTTAAAGCGATTTGAAGCATGTTTAATTTTTTTTTGGGGGGGGGGGAAGGTGCAGAGCTTTGTGACGTCATATTTGAGGGGGGCTCTGACTTTTTGTGACGCCGTGTGACGAAGCGGGGGGGGGGTAAAAAACGTCCAAAATTGCGTGACGTCATTTATGGACGACCCCATGGCAGGAGTTCAGTAGTAGCGGGACAAGAGTGACACAGGGGCGACTGACCGCCAGTGAGCGAGCGAGTGACTCGAGGAGTGATTCGGTGAGTTGCTGGGCCAACGTACGGTGCAAAAGAAGTTCAACATCGTGCTTGCTTGTTGGTGACTTGGTGCAGCGGTTCGCGCACTCTGCTACCAAACCCACCACCCGGGTTCGATCCCCGCTCACGCCAACAATTCGTAACGATTATCTGAAACCGGTCCTGGGCCTCCCCCAGGTCGACTCAGCCTCAAATGAGTAGTACCTGGTGCGGTGTGTAAACATCGCCGCTTAGGGAGACAAAGGCGACCGGGCGTTCTGGCCTTCATCAGTGCACGCTAACAGCCCTTTCCTGAACAGTCTGTTAAGACTATACGGGGGGATCTTTGTTTTTTTGTTAGTGATGAAGAAGGTGTCCTGATGTTGATGATAATAATGAGGACAATATGTTCATGATGATGCTGCTGATGAACTAACGGTGATGACGACGGTGGTCAACTGATGATGATTGTGAACGCATGCGGCTCCTGCTGATGATAAACTAGCGATGATATAGATGATGATGATACTGAGATGACGCTGATGATCATGGTGGGCTCACCATGATGAACTGATGATGATGCTGATGTGTGGTGGAGGTGGAGCACGTGACCTGGGAGTGCGCGAGACTCGAGGGGGAGATCAGAGAGGAGGAGCGAGTGGTGGAGACACTGAGAAGACGGTGCGATTCACCCACTCACTCACTCACCCACTCACTCACCCACTCACTCACCAACTCACTCACTCACCCACTCACTCACCCACTCATTCACCCACTCACTCACCCACTCATTCACTCACCCACTCACTCACGCACCCACTCACTCACCCACTCACTCACCCACTCACTCACCAACTCACTCACTCACCCACTCACTCACCCACTCATTCACTCACCCACTCACTCACCCACTCATTCACTCACCCACTCACTCACCCACTCACCAACCCACTCACTCACCCACTCACCAACCCACTCACCCACTCACCAACCCACTCACCAACTCACTCACCCACTCACTCACCAACCCACTCACCGACTCACTCACCCACTCACCAACCCACTCACCAACTCAATAACTCACTCACCCACTCACAAACTCGCCAACCCACTCACCAACCCACTCACCCACTCACTCATCCACTCACTCACCAACTCACTCACCCACTCACCCACTCACTCACCAACTCACTCACCAACTCACTCACCCACTCACTCACCCACTCACCAACCCACTCACCAACCCACTCACCAACCCACTCACCAACCCACTCACCAACCCACTCACCAACCCACTCACCAACCCACTCACCAACCCACTCACCGATTCACTCGCCCACTCACTCACTCACCAACCCACTCACCAACTCACTCACCCATTCAACCACTCGCTCACCAACTCACTCACCAACTCACTCACCCACTCACCAAACCACTCACCAACCCGACTCACCAACCCACTCACCAACCCACTCACCAACTTACTCAACCACTCACCCACTCACTCACCAAACCACTCAGCCACTAACTCACATTCTGACTCCCTAACTCAATCACTCACTCGCCCACTCACTCACTCACCAACTAACCCACTCCCCCACTCACCCACTCACTCACTCACCCACTGACTCTCTCACCCACTCACCACCACACCCCACCTACTGTCTCGCTCACCCACACGCTCACTCTCGCCAGGTGTCACCGTGAATCTGGGCTGCGTCTCCTCGCCGAGGCGCGCTGCGCCGAGTCGCGCCAGCGTCGAGATTCGAGTCTCGCTCACATCCTGGCGCTCGAGCCGCGACTCCACGCGCTGAGCCACGCGCTGAGCCACGAGCTGAGCCGCGTTCAGTGCCACGTTCAGTGCCACGCCGAGAACCACGCTGAGTGTCGGGCATCCGTCTATCTCCAGCAAGTAGGGCTCGCACAAATACTCGAGTACTTACACTCAGACAAAGTACTCACACACGTACTAACATTCACACACGTACTCACCAGTGCTCACACACGTACTCACAATCACACACGTACTCACAATCACCAGCACGTGAGTATTCATTCACCAGTATAGACACAGGGAGTGACACACACAGGGAGTGACACACACAGGGGAGTGACACACACATGGGAGCGACACACAGGGGAGCGTTGTTCCTGACCAGTGTGAATTCATTCCTGCATCCTATACTCGTCATCTCAATGATCGTCATCTTACTCATCATAATCGTCTCCATCATTTCCATCGTCATTCTCCTTCATCTTAATAATCACCATCATCATCTCCATCATCATCATCTCCATCTTAACCCTCACCGTCTCAATCATCATTCTCTGTCATCATTACCATCATCATCTCGACCATCATCATCTCAATCATCATCATCATCATTATCATCTCCATCAACATTATCTCAAGAATCATCACCATCATCTCCATGATAATTTCCATCATCATCTCATGCATAATCAGCATCACCTCAATCTACATCATCTACATTATCTCCATCATCATCTCCATCATAATCTCAAGCATAATCAGCATAATCTAAATCTGCATCATCTCCATCATCATCATCATGAGAATTTCTACCATCATTATCTCAGGAATCATCATCTCCATCATAACCGTCTCTGATTGTGTTATTTCCGAGAGCCCTGTGACCCCCGTCTCCCCCCGACCCATAGGATATTTCTCATCACGCGGAGGAGACTCGTGGGGTCGTGGGGGGCTCTGGGATCGTGGGGGGCCCGGGGGTCGTGGGGGGCCTGGGGGTCGTGGGGGGTCCGTGTGCATGCGCCCTGCAGCAGCTGCGCTCTGCCTGCAAGGGGACAGCACCACGCGCCTCCATGCAGCCCCCGTGTCACTCACCCGCACAGGTGATGCCCGTGTGTGTCACTCCACGTGTCACTCACCCACACAGGTGATACCCGTGTGTGTCACTCCACGTGTCACTCACCCACACAGGTGATACCCGTGTGTGTCACTCCACGTGTCACTCACCCACACAGGTGATACCCGTGTGTGTCACTCCACGTGTCACTCACCCACACAGGTGATACCCGTGTGTGTCACTCCACGTGTCACTCACCCACACAGGTGATACCCGTGTGTGTCACTCCACGTGTCACTCACCCGCACAGGTGATGCTCGTGTGTGTCACTCCACGTGTCACTCACCCGCACAGGTGATGCTCGTGTGTGTCACTCCACGTGTCACTCACCCACACAGGTGATACCCGTGTGTGTCACTCCACGTGTCACTCACCCACACAGGTGATACTCGTGTGTGTCACTCCACGTGTCACTCACCCACACAGGTGATACACGTGTGTGTCACTCCACGTGTCACTCACCCACACAGGTGATACCCGTGTGTCACTCCACGTGTCACTCACCCACACAGGTGATACTCGTCTGTGTCACTCCACGTGTCACTCACCCACACAGGTGATACCCGTGTGTGTCACTCCACGTGTCACTCACCCGCACAGGTGATGCCTGTGTGTGTCACTCCACGTGTCACTCACCCACACAGGTGATACTCGTATGTGTCACTCTACGTGTCACTCACCCGCACAGGTGACACCCGTGTGTGTCACTCCACGTGTCACTCACCCGCACAGGTGATACTCGTCTGTGTCACTCTACGTGTCACTCACCCGCACAGGTGATACTCGTCTGTGTCACTCCACGTGTCACTCACCCACACAGGTGATACTCGTGTGTGTCACTCCACGTGTCACTCACCCACACAGGTGACACCCGTGTGTGTCACTCCACGTGTCACTCACCCGCACAGGTGACACCCGTGTGTGTCACTCCACGTGTCACTCACCCGCACAGGTGATACTCGTCTGTGTCACTCCACGTGTCACTCACCCACACAGGTGATACCCGTGTGTGTCACTCCACGTGTCACTCACCCGCACAGGTGATACCCGTGTGTGTCACTCCACGTGTCACTCACCCACACAGGTGATACCCGTGTGTGTCACTCCACGTGTCACTCACCCACACAGGTGATACCCGTGTGTGTCACTCCACGTGTCACTCACCCGCACAGGTGATACTCGTGTGTGTCACTCCACGTGTCACTCACCCGCACATGTGATACTCGTGTGTGTCACTCTATGTGTCACTCACCCGCACAGGTGATACCCGTGTGTGTCACTCACGTGTCACTCACCCGCACAGGTGATATTCGTGTGTGCCACTCCACGTGTCACTCACCCGCACAGGTGATACCCATGTGTGTCACTCCACGTGTCACTCACCCACACAGGTGATACCCATGTGTGTCACTCCACGTGTCACTCACCCGCACAGGTGATACCCGTGTGTGTCACTCACGTGTCACTCACCCGCACAGGTGATATTCGTGTGTGTCACTCCACGTGTCACTCACCCGCACAGGTGATACCCGTGTGTGTCACTCACGTGTCACTCACCCGCACAGGTGATATTCGTGTGTGTCACTCACGTGTCACTCACCCGCACAGGTGATATTCGTGTGTGTCACTCCACGTGTCACTCACCCGCACAGGTGATACTCGTGTGTGTCACTCACACAAAAATGTAATTAATTAGCTTGTGCCGGAGGCTTCGGGGGGACAGGTGTCTATGACGTCTCCTGGCCAAACCCCAATTGGCGGAGCCAGGTGACTGAATCCTTACCCTCGGGGCTCCTCCAGAAACAACAAAAAACCACTACATGTGGCCACGTGGAATGTTCGAACGCTCACTGCGGAGGAGAGGCTGCTAATCCTCTGTCGGGAGCTGGACCAGTACCGCCTGGATCTCTGTGGTATTCAGGAGGTCTGGTGTACCGGCTCTGGCTCCTGCCACCATGAGGGGTGGACAGTCCTCTACTCGGGGCAGGAGACTATCAAACAACAGGGTGTGGCTCTTCTTCTGAACAAAAGAATGAAGGGGGCGTGGGAGCGTGGCGGTGAGGTGTGGGAAGCTGTAAGCCCCAGGCTACTTTGGGCTCGCCTTCCCATCAACCAGAGGCGAGGAGTGGTGGTCGTGGTTACTTATGCCCCCACCGAAGACGAGCATCAATGGAGGGTTGAAGGCAAGGCCGATGAGTCAGATGCCTTCTATGACCTCCTGTCACAGGTACTGGCTAAAGTGGCTCCTCGGGATAGAGTCATCTTGTTGGGTGACTTCAATGCCCGAGTTGGTCATTATGCTGGCACCTGGTCTGGTGTGATTGGAAGGCATGGGCCAGTTCAACTCAATAACAACGGTAGGAGGCTGCTAGATTTGTCTGCAGCCTATGGGCTGGTAATTATCAACACGCTCTTCCGGCATCGGCGCATCTACACAACATCATGGATGCATGCCGGGTCCAAGGAAGAACATCTGCTTGACTACATAGTGACGGAACAGCGAATACGGGCCCATGTCCTTGACACCAGGACCAACCTTGGAGCTGATCTGCCCTCTGATCATCGACTTATCATCTGTAAGATGCGCCTGCCATTCTTCCACTCCGGTGGTGGGTGTACACCCAGGACCCCATTCAAATCTAACGTGGCCTAATCTCAGCTAGCTGATGAAAGTTGAACGCTAGAATTTCATCATCGCTTGCGGCTGAGGTTGGCATCGTCCCCCACTCCTCTAGATGTTGAGGGTAAATGGGTGAGGTTTAGGACTGTGACTCAGGCAGCTGCAATGGCTGCTTTGGGTACGCGGTCCAGACCTCCCCAGAGACCCTGGCTGACAGGGGAGGTGGTCAAGCTGGCTGAGAAAAAGCGACAGGACCACTCTAATCGTCTACAGCATCCCACGTTAGAGAATGAGGAGGCTTACCGCAGCCTTCGCTCAGAGGTTCGGAGAGCCGTAAGGCGCTGCAAGGATGGGTGGTGGTCGTGGGTTGCTGAGGAGATGGAGTCTCCCTCAATGGCCCGCGATCACAAATCCCTATTTAACTCCATCGAAAAAGTAAGCTGCAGCGCCACACCTATTACCATAATTAGGGTAAAAAACGGTGATCCAATCTCTGACCCCCAGGAACAGGTTTGCAGATTTGCTGAGCATGTCTGTGAAGTCCTGGGGGAGGGGAAATCCCTCGACATGGAAAACATCGTGGGACAAAGTGGGGATGACCCTGCTGAGGCTGCGGTGCCTCAAATATTGGAAGAAGAAGTCACCCCCTGTGAGTGGCTGGCTGAGGTGCTATCTGTTGAGGAAGTACTAAAGGCGATCCAGAGTCTGAGACCAGGAAAAGCACCGGACAGAGATGATCTCCCAAGCGAAATGCTGAGGGAGGGTGGCGTTTGTGCACAGGCTGCCCTACATGACAATCATAACAACAGTCTGGACCACTGGACGGGTTCCGCAGGATTGGACTGTAACAACTACAGGGAAATCTCACTCCTCTGTGTGCCGGGAAAGGTCCTGGCAAGGATTATTCAACATTGCCTTGCTAGGCACGCTGAGGAGAGGCTTGCAGAGCCCCAATTTGGTTTCAGCAAAGGGCGGTCCAGTATAGATGCAATATTTTATGTCCGTCTGCTACAGCAGAGATGTAGGGAATTCCAACAAGACCTACATCTCTGCTTTATTGACCTGGTTAAGGCCTATGATACCATCAGTAGGCCTGGGCTCTGGGTTGTTCTTCATGCTTTCGGAGTCCTTGACCCTCTGCTCACGATCATTAAGGACCTTCATGATGGTGAGCGGGCCCGGGTAAAACTACGTGGTCGGGAGTCGGAGTCATTCCCTGTTCACCGTGGGGTGAGACAGGGATGTCCTCTGGCTCCCACATTATTGAACATCTTAATTCGACCACGTAGTTCGTGAAGCCTTTGATGGCTGTACCAGAGGAATTTCCATCTGGTACAGATACAATGGGAGGGCTGATCGATGCCCAGGTGCGGTCAAGGGATGGCTCCCTATTGGTCAACCACGTTATGTATGACGATGATTTGGTAATAGCTGCTCATTCAGAAAAGGACTTGGAGGCACTGCTGCTGAAACTGGAGCGTGCCACTAAGAGGTAGGGCCTTACCATCAGCACAACCAAAACTAAGCACCTGCCTGGGTATTTTGTACCATCAGACACTCCACCCCCACAACTCCCAATCGGTGATGGGGCAGTTGTGGAGAGAGTGGAAAGTTTCCCATACCTGGGCAGTGTGCTCATGACTGGCTCCGGTTTGATAGCAGAGGTCTCACTCCGAATCAGTCGAGCGGCATTTTCTTTTCATCGGTTGCATAACGCTGTGTAGAAGCTACCTGGTCTGTCACTCCGCACGAAGCTTCGGGTCTTCTCGGCCATGGTTATGCCCTGCCCTCTCTATGCTTGCAAAACATGGATCGCCCAAATGAAACATCTTCGCCGGTTAGAAACATCCAGGCTGGCCTGCCTAGGATCCATCCTGGGTTTAACCAGTCTGGATTGTGTGAGGAGTTCACACATCATATAAAGATCTGAACACAGTCCCATCGGTGAGCTCCTCCGGCAGGCAAGTTTGCGTTGGCTGGGTCATGTAGCCCGCATGCCCAGCCACCGCATGCCTAAACAGCTTTTGTTCGGCCGGATCGAGGGGGCTAAACGGGCGCGGCACGGGCTAGAGAGGAGGATGTGGTGCTGAGTGGATTTGCCAATAACTGGTCCCAGCGGTGTCAAGATCGACCTCTGTGCAGGAGGCTCG